AGGGACGCCCCAAAGAGAACGGCGGCCCTGCTAATCCCGCCCGTGTATTGAGCCGCCCACGTCTCCCGGCTTCTGGGTCACTGCAGGAGGAGATGCGCATACACTGACACTTGGCTATCGTAGCTATCACATGCACACACACACACACACACACACACACACACACACACACACACACACACACACACATATATAATATATATATATATATATATATATATATATATATAATATATATATATATATATATGTATATATATATATATATATATATATATATATATATATATATATGTGTGTGTGTGTGGTGTGTGTGTGTGTGTGTGTGTGTGTTGTGTACGTATGTATGTATATATACATACATACATATATATATATATATATATATATATATATATATATATATATATATATATATATGTATATATATATGTATATATATATATATATATATGTATGTATGTATGTATATATGTATATACATATATTTATGTATATATATGTGTATATATACATATATATTATATATGTATATATGTATATATGTATATGTATATATATATATATATATATATATATATATATATATATATATATATATATATATATGTATGTATGTATGTATGTATGTATATACACCACACACACACACACACACACACACACACACACACACACACACACACACACACACACACACACACACCACACATATATATATATATATATATATATATATATATATATATATATATATATATATATATACATTCTATCATTGTTAATTATTACTAAAGTTGTTGTCATTGTCATCATTATTGATATCCTTGCAATTACTATCATTATCACTATTATCCCTATTACATCTTCGTCATCTCCCTCATCTCCTCTTTCTGTGCAGTTTCCTTCTTCGTCCCTCACGCAATTCCCTCATCCATCACATTCCTTTGTTATTCCTTCTTCGCGTCCTTCTACTCTCTGGGTTTTTATCTTCCTTTGTTCTGTCTTTCTTATCTCATTTCTTTTTGTTGTTTGTATCCATTTGTGTCTTTCTTGTTATTGTGTCTTTCGTACACACACCTACACACACACACACACACACACACACACACACACACAACACACACACACACACACACACACACACACACACACACACACACACACACACACACACACACACACACACACACACATATATATATATATATATATATATATATATATATATATATATATATATATATATATATATATATATACACCTCTCCGCCGCATGCCTCTCTCTATTCCAGATTTTCTTCTTCCTTCTCTTTTTCCTTTCCTCCTCCTCTTCCTCTTTCCTATCCCCTACCCCTCCTCCTCCTCCTCCCCTCCCCTCCTCCTCCCCCTCCCCTCCCTCCCTCCTCTCCCTCCTCCCTCCCCCCTCCTCCCTCCCTCCCTCCCTCCCTCCTCCTCCCTCCCTCCCTCCCTCCCTCCCTCCCTCCCTCCTCCCTCCTCCTCCCTCCCTCCTTCCCTCCTCCCCTCCCTCCCTCCCCCCTCCCTCCCCTCCCTCCCATCTCCTCCTCCTTTCCCTCTTTCCTCTCTCCCTTCTCCTCCTCCTCCTTTCTCCCGTCCTTCTGCCTCTCCCCCGTGGCATAGCCTGGGGGGGCAAGGTGTGGGAAGCCCTCCTGTGCCCAGCCCGCGGCCGCTCCGGGAAGCACCTGCGGACCTCATCACATTGTGTTCACAGACTGGGAGATGTTGCAGCGGGGGGAGGGGTGGGGGGGGAGAGGGGGAGTGTTGCAGCGGAGGGGAGGGGTGGGGGGAGAGGGGAGATGTTGCAGCGGAGGAGGGAGGGGGGGGGAAGGTGGGAGGGGGGGATGGGGGAGTAGGGGGAAGGGGGAAGGAAAGGGGGTATGTGTATTTGGTGGTGGTGGTAAGGGGTAGGAGGGTAGGGGGGAGGTATATGTGTATGGATGGGTATATGTGTGTTGTTGTTGTGGGGTGTATGTGTCTGTGTGTGTGTGTGTGTATCTAGGTATTTGTGCGCTGTGTGTGTGTGGGTATATCTAGGTATTTGTGCGTGTGTGTGTGTGCGCGCATACCCCTACGTGCGTACATGTGTGCACCGTGTGTCAGAGTACCAGGTACACGGGAGCCAAGAGTCATAATTGCATAATCAACTTCGCAAAACTCCTTTCTTCCCGTGCTTCAATTTGCAACAGACCTTCATGTGCCACGTGTTATGTTTGCAATCCTATTCCTCCTCCTCCTCCTCCTTCTTTTCTCTTGGGTTTCTTCTCTTCCTTCTTTTTTTTCTTGTTCTGTTTTCTCTCTCTCTCTCTCTCTCTCTCTCTCTTCTCTCTCTCTCCTCTCTCTCTCTCTCTCTCTCTCTCTCTCTCTCTTTCTCTCTTTCTCTTTACTTTTTTCTCCTTTTTTAATATTTTTTTTCTTTTTCTTTTCCTTGTTTTCCGTTTCTTTATTTTATCTCTTCTTCT